GCTGAAACCTTTGCTTATTTTTACTTAATTTATATTATCTTCAACGTACCTTTATTTTTTTAAAATATATTTTATTGATTTTTCACAGAGAGGAAGGCAGCGGGATAGAGAGTTAGAAACATTGATGAGAGAGAAACATCGATCAGCTGCCTCCTGCACGTCTCCTCCTGGAGATGTGCCCGCAACCCAGGTACATGCCCTTGACCGGAATCGAACCTGGGACCTTTCAGTCTGCAGGCCGACGCTCTATCCACTGAGCCAAACCGGTTTTGGCAAGATAGTCTTAGATCATTCTTTAAAAAGGAAACTGTTCCTTTTAACTTTACACCCACCCCATACCCCAATTGCAAAACATATCATTTAATTGTCTTGGTCATGGACATTTCCAAGATGAGATTTTATATTTCGCTCCCATAGCTTCTGGTTGTCAGAAAACCCATGCTTTCCTTTATTAAAGGAGTTTGGTCCTGCTGATGTTGGTGTATCCCTGTGTGAAAGAAAAGAAATTTATTCAGAATGTTATACAAAGCCTTTTGGGCCATGTTTTAATCATTCAAAACACAGTTGTTTAGCACTTATTATAAACATAGGCTGAACATCAGAAGCCCCTACAAAGGTTTTAAAAAATATACTTTCCACAGACCTAGTCCTAAAATTTCAGATTCAGGTCTAAGAGGGACCAAGTAAATTTATACTTTTCACATTTGAGGTGATTATGATACACTAGAGGCCCAGTGCAGGAATTTGTGCACCAGTGGAGTCCCTTACCCTGGCCTGTGGGATTGGGCTGAAACCAGCTCTCGAACATCCCGAGGCGTGCCGGATTGTGAGAGGGCACAGGCCAGGCTGAGCGACCCCACTGATGCACGATCGGGGCCAGGGAGGGACACGGGAGGTTGGCCAGCCAGAAAGGGACCACAGGAGGGCTCCAGGGCGTGTCCGGTCTCGCTCAGTTTGGATTGGCTGGACCCCAGCAGCAAGCTAACCTACTGGTCGGAGCCTCTGCCCCGTGGTGGTCAGTGCACATCATAGTGACTGGTTGACTGTCTGCCTCCTGGTGGTCAGTGCACATCATAGCGAGCGGTTGAGCGGCCTTAGCATAATATTAGCATATTACGCTTTGACTGAACAGCTGACCAGACACTTAGCATGTTAGGCTTTTGTTATATAGGATTATATAGGATAGCTAATGGTGGCAACCATTATAGTTTTAAAAAATTGTTGCTATTTTGCTACCTATGGATTCTTCTAAGATTTTTATGGTTTCCTGTCTTACGTTTAAGTCCTTTACCCATTTTGAAATAAAAAAATACATACATACAAAAAGACAAAACAACTGTTGCTTGCAACCCATTAATAAGGTCATGAAATTAATTTACTGGCTTGTCATCAGCATTTATAAAAAATTAAAATTAAGAAAAACATGAAGATATATCACACAGAAAGATTTAGGTCATTTTATGAACTGTTTCAATTTTACATATTTAGATCGATGTATCTAAATATCTAAATAGGTGTTTAGATTGGGTTACAATGCCAGGTATATTTCTTAGATTCCAGTATAAAATGAAGGTACTGGGACTGTTCCCATTTGAATCATAGACCGAAAATCTGAAGGCTGATACCTGTTTATGGACTTAGCAATTAGTTCTTTGGAAGTTCATACATTAAGTAGAAATGGGGACAGAGTATGGGTCGATTTAAAGCTAAGCTTTTTTACTAGCTTCTAAATTATCCATTTATGCATACAAAGACAGGAAACTGGGCATCATATTAACTTAAAATTAACATTATTTCCATGACAACAGAAACAATAAAGGAAAATTAAAATACTTTTGTTTTATTATGGTATTTGACATTTAAGTGACCATGGAAAAAAGGGTATTTATGATCAAGATTAAGTGGTGAGAATATCATTTAAAAAATGAGTGAAAGCCATTTCTTTTTATACCAGAAAACAATTCAATATAAATTTTAAATCAGAACAATGCTCATAGCTATCTCTTATTTGAAAAAACAAAACATATATATATATATATATGGATTACATGTATCTTAAAAGAAAGTCTTAAATTGTTAATTTTCTTAAAATACTCATAAGATCTGATTAACTCACAAAACAAAACTGTTATGCTCAATACACAAGAAAAGCCTGAACAATAAAAGATTATGTATAATTTATTCTTGCTCTTAATTCACCATAATTTTCTATAATATTTATGAAAAATTATAATACCTTCCAATATTCTTCATCCTCATCTTTGCTTCTGGAGGCATTTCCTCTGGTTCGCTCTGGAGGGAAAAAAGAAAGAAAAACAGAAGTTAACAGAGATGATTGCATATACATTTATTAAATTCACTTCATTACAATATGTAAAATTTTATGTCTAAGTCTTTAAGCATTTTCAATTCTGTAAATTTTTAAAAAATCTATTTCTTTATTGATTTCAGAGAGGAAGGGAGAAGGAGAGGGAGAGATAGAAACATCAATGATGAGAATCATCGATTGGCTGCCTCCTGCAAACCCCGCACTGGGGATGGAGCCCACAACCCAGGCATGTGCCCTTAGCTGGAATCGAACCCGGGACCCCTCAGTCCGCAGGCTGATGCTCTACCCACTGAGCCAAGCCAGCCAGAGCAATTCTGTAAATTTTGATAAAAGAAGAAAATTGTTTATCTTAACTACATTTTAAAAATAAATGCACTGCTAGTGTGCTGGTTTTGCATTAAAACTTTTGGTAAAAACTAGATATTCTAGAATTAAAACCATTTGTTGATTATATACTACACATTGTGTTAAATGCTTTAATATGCATGATATTTTAAAACTCTTTAATAATTGTACAATGTGGTATGATTATCATCATTCCCAATCTGCAGGTGAGATAAACAGGTGAAATTGTCCAAGGTCACAAAACTAATAAACAGCAAAACAATAGAGTGCCAAAGCAAAGACTCTTAACCATCTTACTGGATTATTCCTTCTCAAAAATGTCTCCTTGACTAAAAGATATCTTTAAAGTTCTTTGCTTACTATTTTTTCCCTATTTATAGTTACGGATAAGTTACAATGATGTAAGTTTTTAAGTACAAATTTTGCTGCTGAGCTTAAATATTTTTTTAAAGGGAGTCCTTAAATTAAAGGGGTTTCTATTGGTCAAATCTGGGACAATTTGAGCATTATAACCAACTGAATAAAAAATCCATGAACCCACCACACATATAAATAAGGGAAAGCTCTTCTTTACAGTGCTAAGGGTCAGCTAGCTAGCTTAATTTGGCGGGGACGGAGGGGTGGGGAGGATGGTCCAGAAAGGATTAAGGCCTTTCTGGCTTGAGCAATTAAAAGCAGCCTGACCTGAGCAGCTGGGAGAGCCATAGGGGTAATAAAACATCTCCAGCCAGAACAACTGAGAGAGGATCCATGGGGGAGGAATGCATAGATGGGGGCTTGGAGGCACCAAAATGCTTATCTTACTTTTACAGAGGACAGAAAAATGCCACAGGATAAGGGGGGAGGAAGACATACATTCACAGAAGATAAAGAAAAGTCACAGGATATCAGGAAGGAAACATTTTCACAAAGGATGAAGGAATGTTGTAAGATAAGGGGAGTGAAACAGGGGAGCACCAAGTGCGCTTTGAGATTTAAGCTTTGAAACTAATACTGTGTTGCTGAATGACCAATGAGGAAAGCATAGGAGACAGAGACTCAGTAGATTCTTATTACTTAGATTTTTGAGAGAGAGAGAGAGAGAGAGAGAGAGAGAGAGAGAGAGAGA